CTGCAGGCGTTTCCATCCTGATGGAAACATCGTGTCGGCGCTTGCTTCCGGCAACTTGCACGTTTCGTAAGCGCGCGTGAACTTTCGGCTCCTAGCTCGGGTCAAACGGGGGGATAAACTCGGTACACCGATACTATTGATTTTGCGAGACGGGGTGTAGAAAGAAGGGCGGCGGAGAAAGTGGAGGATGGGTGAGGTCAACCCCCTTTTCAGGCGGGCTCGTATTAAACAAGCTTATGCCGGCTTATCCTTTAACGTTACCTATCCGCCAGGAAAAAGTGATGCTTAATTGTTAGGGATTCTGTTGCATTATCATTGCCTAGCATTCATTCAATCCTAACAGGCGTCTGGGCTGTGTGGATCTGTGTAGATCTAGATATCTAGGTGTTTCAATGTTTTTTTCTTACAATGTTTCAGAACTCCTTAGCCTAGTTTAGGGTATGGGGTAGACCTATCCTAACTCCTGATGGGATCTGTGTAGATCTAGATATCTAAGTGTTTCGAACTTTGACTCATATTTAGTTCAGATAATTGTCTAGAATGTTTGAGGATCATATATATTCCTTACAATGTTTCAGAACTCCTTAGCCTAGTTTAGGGGATGAGGTAGACCTATACTAAATCCTGATGGGATCTGTGTAGATCTAGATATCTAAGTGTTTCGAACTTTGACTCATATTTAGTTCAGATAATTGTCTAGAATGTTTAAGGATCATATATTTGACTCATATTTAGTTCAGATAATTGTCTAGAATGTTTGAGGATCATACATATTCCTTACAATGTTTCAGAACTCCTTAGCCTAGTTTAGGGGATGGGGTAGACCTAACCGAACTCCTGATGGGATCTACGTAGATCTAGATCTCTAGGTGTTTCGAACCTTGACTCATATTAAGTTCAGATAATTGTCTAGAATATTTAAAGATCATACATATTCCTTACAATGTTTCAGAACCCCTTAGCCTAGTTTAGGGGATGGGGTAGACCTAACCTAACTCTTGATGGGATCTGTGTAGATCTAGATCTCTAGGTGTTTCGAAGCTTGACTCATATTTAGTTCAGATAATTGTCTAGAATGTTTGAGGATCATATATATTCCTTACAATGTTTCAGATCCCCTTAGCCTAGTTTAGGGGATGGGGTAGACCTAACCGAACTCCTGATGGGATCTACGTAGATCTAGATCTCTAGGTGTTTCGAACCTTGACTCATATTTAGTTCAGATAAGTGTCTAGAATGTTTGAGGATCATATATATTCCTTACAATGTTTCAGATCCCCTTAGCCTAGTTTAGGGGATGGGGTAGACCTAACCGAACTCCTGATGGGATCTACGTAGATCTAGATCTCTAGGTGTTTCGAACCTTGACTCATATTTAGTTCAGATAAGTGTCTAGAATGTTTGAGGATCATATATATTCCTTACAATGTTTCAGATCCCCTTAGCCTAGTTTAGGGGATGGGGTAGACCTAACCGAACTCCTGATGGGATCTACGTAGATCTAGATCTCTAGGTGTTTCGAACCTTGACTCATATTTAGTTCAGATAAGTGTCTAGAATGTTTGAGGATCATATATATTCCTTACAATGTTTCAGATCCCCTTAGCCTAGTTTAGGGGATGGGGTAGACCTAACCGAACTCCTGATGGGATCTACGTAGATCTAGATCTCTAGGTGTTTCGAACCTTGACTCATATTTAGTTCAGATAAGTGTCTAGAATGTTTGAGGATCATATATATTCCTTACAATGTTTCAGATCCCCTTAGCCTAGTTTAGGGGATGGGGTAGACCTAACCGAACTCCTGATGGGATCTACGTAGATCTAGATCTCTAGGTGTTTCGAACCTTGACTCATATTTAGTTCAGATAAGTGTCTAGAATGTTTGAGGATCATATATATTCCTTACAATGTTTCAGATCCCCTTAGCCTAGTTTAGGGGATGGGGTAGACCTAACCGAACTCCTGATGGGATCTACGTAGATCTAGATCTCTAGGTGTTTCGAACCTTGACTCATATTTAGTTCAGATAAGTGTCTAGAATGTTTGAGGATCATATATATTCCTTACAATGTTTCAGATCCCCTTAGCCTAGTTTAGGGGATGGGGTAGACCTAACCGAACTCCTGATGGGATCTACGTAGATCTAGATCTCTAGGTGTTTCGAACCTTGACTCATATTTAGTTCAGATAAGTGTCTAGAATGTTTGAGGATCATATATATTCCTTACAATGTTTCAGATCCCCTTAGCCTAGTTTAGGGGATGGGGTAGACCTAACCGAACTCCTGATGGGATCTACGTAGATCTAGATCTCTAGGTGTTTCGAACCTTGACTCATATTTAGTTCAGATAAGTGTCTAGAATGTTTGAGGATCATATATATTCCTTACAATGTTTCAGATCCCCTTAGCCTAGTTTAGGGGATGGGGTAGACCTAACCTAACTCCTGATGGGATCTATGTCTAGATTGTGTTTATGTACAGGTGTGGTGTATAGTCCAGTCTATGTGAGAATATAGAGTTGACCTAAAAATAGGCTTACTAAGTAGCTTCCAGATGAGGACTTACACAAGTTGTGTCCTATACCTAGGTTCAACTGCAAGTGTACCACTTGACACTTAAAATTTCGCCTCACCTATGTCCAATCTTGCACGCAATCTGTATCTACTTTTATGTCACCTCCTCAACGAGTGATTATGTAGCACAGAACCTTACAGTGAAAGACGTTCTACCAATTATTTCAAATAACGTGTTATTTTATAGAGAATACATGAACATGGCTGAACCTGTAACCTAGTTGACAATAGTACCACTGACGGAAATTCTTCTGTCTTAAACACAGACTCCAATGTCGTTACACGTCATCCAGCGAGCATAAAGCCCAACGACTCAGTCGTACCTGTAATTACATTGCGTGAAACAAGACAGGCTCCCAACGTGATAGCTCTCGCGAGGCTTCATGTGCCATTTCCCGCAGCCACGGAGGACCATCTCGAAGGTGCACTAAATGAAAGCGTTCCTGGGGAACTTGACCGCAATTGCACCGACCGAGAGCCGTGCAATTTCTTTTCTGGCTTCCGGGAGATTGCACGCGAGTGATAATTAAGCGATGTCGTTGTTGCATCCTCGATACCTGAACCTCCGTGGAAGTTTCCGCGTCGAGGAAGGATTCGAAGAGATCTCCAGGGAGCCTCGAGAGAGAGCATTTTTGGGGTCGAGCTTCTCCCATTACGGAACGATCGAAGTACCTCTTGTTTAGAGAATAATAATGTTAGGCACGCCGTGATGGGACGTCTTACTCAATGAAGTGGGAGTGGTTGTATACGACGGGGAATTTTGCCACGGGAATATTATCCGGAATTTTATAGACAATATTGTTAAGAAATTATGGCGTTACTAGGTTAATTGGGAATTCCTGCGAGGCACGGTTAATTGTAAGTTGTTGCGTCCGAACTTCGTAAAGAATTCCTGTTACGGAGACTCGGTCTTTGAAAATCGAAGATTAATGCTTCAATCATGGAAATGTGAAAGTTCAAGAATTTAAAATTTTCTGGATTTAAATTTTCAAGCGTGAACAATATTTATACTCGATATCAATATTTTAATATCGTTTCTGTAGTTGTGATCATTGATGCGTAATTTTCGATCACAGTTTGTATGAGCTGCAGGACGAATCGCGATTGTATGGACAGAAATCGATATACCTCGAACAATGTCAAACCTTGACACTCTTACGGCCACTTTCAATTCAAACGCGAAAATTCATGGAGTAGACGGAAGTCCATCGTATTTCCAACATTTTCACCAAACGACTGGTTAGTTGCAAAATAATGCAAATTGCTGTCGGACACATTGGATATCGGAGATAATCAAGTAAGGAATAAACTCACAGTAACCGAAAACGTCATCGCTAATTGTTAACCTTACGGTTCATTAAAATCAGGTAACAAATTCCTTCACATCCACGTAAAACACTGCAATAAAGACATGGCGGACGAAGGGGACACCGAGGAAGATATGACAGACGATGATATCGATTTAAACGATTCAGATTTAGATACGTTCAAGGACCACGTGGACGAAAGTAATGTCACAGCTGCGTCAAAGGTGGGATCAAGTATTTCAGGAGACACACAAGAAAGCAAGGCCGAATCAAGTAATTCAAAGACTAGGACCTTGAGTAACGCAAGTGCTCAAAATGGCAGAAAAAGCCACGAAGCTTTAGAGGAGGCATCTAAAAGCGACGAAGGCATCAGGACGACTCCAGACGTTTCTCTTACCCCCAAGAAGGTCTCTCTTGACCAATTAGGACAGAGCACGACCGAGTCGGCTCGCAGGTCAAAAGCTGGCAGGAGTCATCGCCAATGCCAACGTCACTTTCGAGAGATAATTGGCAAGCGAGAGTTGAGGAACGAGGAGCTGGAGAAGCATCAAGGCGATCTTCGACAGCGTCTGAACATATTGGAGTGCTCGATGCCTGCGGTGATGGTGTGGAATATCTGGAGGATGACGCAGGGCTCCTGCGTACCGAACCTCCAACGAGTACTGGAGAAGCAATTCCAAGGGCCAGCTTCCGGCGAAGTCTACTGCCCCAGCACCCCTAGCCGCCACTTCGACTGTCGGGTCAGAGAGATCGAGGCGGAGAAGAAACTGGCCCAGAAGAAGGTGGAAGAGGCCAGGACACTTTGGGCTGAAAAGATGGCTACCCTGGAGGATCGGGAGATGAGGTTGCAGGAGGCCAGGACGTTACAGGAGGAGCAGATGAAGAGGATCGAGCAGCTGACCAGCGACGTTCAGAAGTTACAGGAGGCTAAGAGTGCCGTGGAAGATGATGGCTCGTGTGAAGCTGGTGAGGTGATTTCCATTTTACCATCTTAAAATACTCTGGATACCAAGTAGATCCCCTAAATGGTTATTCCATGATACCCAACCCTCTTACCATCCTCGGTCAGGCTCTACATTTTCCATAATAACACACCCTGTTACTCAGTCGAGCATGAATGGCGAATGTGGCAAACTTCAATTTTTCACTGGGAAATCTAACTGGCACAGGAGAATGCGGGGTCCTGGAGTGCAAGAAAAAGTGGCTAGAGAAGGTGCCCAGCAGCGGGTCCATCAAGTCCACGGACGTCGAGTGTCTGGAGAAGCTGCAGGAACTGGCCGAGGCGGAGCTGTGCATGAAAAGACAGATCGCTGATTTAGAGGGTCGAGAGGAGGCTTATATGAGGACACTCCAGCAAGCGGACGAGCTCTGGTGCAAGTTGGAGGGCGACGCTGCCAGCACTGTGAGTGTCTTGCAAGAACAGCTGGAGATGAAAACAGCGGCGAATCAACAGATGGCCGGTCGTATCTGCGAGCTGGAGGACGAGCTGGAGAAGCTGAGATCGAGGATGGCTACCTGCAGGACTGAGCTGGAGAAGTACATGAGCATTGGAAAGATCGAGGCTCTGATTGGCAGGGACGATGACTTCGCTGACGTCACTGACAAAGGAGCCACGGTTGGTGTAGTGACGCAGGACACCATGATGCTGGCTAAACCTGAGATGGGCGAGGCTGGCCTGGGCATACACCCTGAAGATCTTGCGGTCGAAAGGGAGAAATTGTTGGAAGCCAAGGAACTACTAGCACAGCTAGGTTCCTTGTCCGAGTTGGACGATGAGGGAAGCTTTTGCTTCACGAACTTCGACTGCAACGACTTGGGGCTCACGGAAACAGGGCTGACCGAGGAGGAAAGGATAGCTCTGGAGGAAAATCGCGTTACCGCCAGGGAACTTCTGGAGAAATATGATTTTCCGGGTGGGACGAGGACTGTGAAACAGGAGAGGATAGAGTATCGAATGGCCGTGAAGACAAAGGTGTCCAAGGAAGTTACTGTACCTTCGACGAAAGAAGTGTCCAGTGTATCGACGACAGAGGAGCTTGAGGAGGAATTTCAGAGGGAAATTCAGTATGAGGGGAAGGTAACTGGGGAAGTGTACGATACGGAGGTTGGGGATGTAGCGCCTGCTGCAACGGACAAGGGAGATGGCTTAGTGCCGCTGGATGAACTGCTATCGTGGCAGAACTATGTGCATTCAATTCGATTGAAAATAGCGGTATGTATAATACTAAAATGATTGTTTTGTAGGCGGATGAAAAAGATGGGGTTTCGTTTCGGGAATCGTCTACTAAGACTCGTCAGTGGGGCTGACGGTAGACGACTCCCATCCCAGACGCCTGGGTTGCTCCTCAGCGGAGCCCCTTAAGTAGCCAAAGGCTGTAATTACCGCTTGCGAGAAAACTCGCCACCTAGCGGCCGCTACCAAAAACTCAAGCGACTGGGAGAAACGTCTCCACAGACCACCTGACCCATGAAATCTCTTACAGTTTTTAGATTAAAGTCTACTAATTGTTTAATCGTTTACAAATTTAGAATTGTCCAGACTGCAGTGTCATGAATGAGACAGCCGGTGCTTTGGCCGATGAGATTGCAGCATACACTAAGGTCATTCATAAAAACTTGTACTGATTTTTGTGCAAATATATGGACAAATGAAGAACTGCTTGAAAGAATGACACTGTAATAACACGAAATTTAATTTTATAGACAAAAATTAAAATGGAAGTTGAAAAGGAAGACAAAACGAAACTCGGGGATGAAGCACCAATAAAAACTGAAGCGGAAGACGAAATGGGAGAAGTGATCAAGTCAGAAGGTGAAGCGATATTTGATCCTGAGAAACATGTAAAGGCCGAAATCATAGAAGATGAGGTGAAAGTGGAGGAGAAGGAGGAGATGGCGACATTAGCAGAAGACCTTGAATTCCTTAAGATCAAAAAAGAGGAAGAACTAGACTTCGAAACAGCGATAACAGAACATAAAGCACCAGTATTAAGATCACCTGAGGAGGTACTACAACAAGTTCCTGAAGAACATACTCAAGTGACACCGGAGAAACCACTTCCGGCAGATGAAGCTCTAAGAGATTATGAGAAAGTGGTACCTGCAGAGGTACGTCGACGAGAAGATGAAGTAGAAGCACCATATACGGACGTCGAGGACTACAAGGAGGAAATGCCAAGAGAAATTCGTGATAAAGAAGGTCCAACACTTGCTCCAAAAGTTACGGATGATTCAGTCAAAGCTGAACGAGTGGCAGTGAGTAAGGAGAAAAGAGTTGCTGAAAAGCAAAAGTTGAAGGTTGAAGATGAAGAACTACCCATGAAAGAAGAGAAGGCACGTGTGGAAAAATTGCAGGAAGGAGCAACTGAAAAAGTTCATGAACCAAAGACGGTAAAAGCAGAAGAAGGAGAAGTAACAGTAAAGAAAGAAAGAGCAGAGGTGACAAAAGAAATGGAAGAAAAGATTCCGGTACCGAAAGAAGAAAAAGCAGAGTTGACTAAAGAGAAAGAAGAAAAGATTCTAGTACCAAAGAAAGAAAGAGCAGAGGTCACTGAAGAGGAAGACAAAGGGGCTCCAGTACCGAAAACAGAAAAAGTAGAGGTGATTGAAGAAAAAGAAGAAAAGGCTCTCGTACCGAAAACAGAAAAAGTAGAGGTGATTGAAAAAGGGGAAGGAAAGGCTCCAGTAGAGAAAAAAGAAAAAGCAGAGGTGCCTGAAGAAAAAGAAGAAAAGGTTCCAGCACCAAAAGAAGAAAAGGCGGAGGTACTAAGAGAAAGTGAATCAATTCCAAAAACAGAAGAAAAACGTCCAGAAAAGAAAGAAATTGAAGACATGCCGGAAGTGAAGGATGCTAAGGAAAAACAGAAAGAAAAAGAAGTTGAGAAAGACGCAGAAACTCTAGTAGAGGCAGATCCAGTCAAAGATAAAGTAAAACTTGAAGAAGTGGAACCAGTTGGGGAGGAAGTTGAAGTAGAAATTATACCAGTAGAAGAAGAAGTTGAAGGAGAAATTATACCAGGAGAAGGAAAAGTTGAAGTAGAAATTATACCAGCAGAAGAAAAAGTTGAAGTAGAAATTATACCAGCAGAAGGAAAAGTTGAAGTAGAAATTATACCAGAAGAAGAAGAAGTAAAACTAATACCAGTGGAAGACGCAGGGGAGGATACAGTACAGATAGTCCCAATAGAAGAGGAGGTAGTACCCGTGAAAAAAGAAGTAATAGTTCATGTAGAACCACTAGAGGAAGAAAAAATGGATGTAGATGTAGAAGAAACAATAGATCAGGATGTACCAACAATAGAGAAAGTAAAGGTGGAGGTAGAGGTAATAGGATTACCAAAAGAAGTAGAAGTGGAAATTAAAAAAGAAGAATTCGACGTCCCTGTAGAAATGAAAGAAGAACCAGAGGAGTTGGAACTTGGTATAGAAGAAGAATGTGTCTGTGACCAATCCTCTATAGTAGAGACTCCTTCAAGTGAAGAACTCCCTTGTAAATGTGAAGAAATCACTCCTTTAAGTATAGAATTTCTCTCTTGTACATGTGAAGAAACCACTCCTTCAACTGAAGAACATCTCTCTTGTAAATGTGAAGAAACCACTCCTTCAGGTAAAGAACTCTCTTGTAAATGTGAAGAAACCACTCCTTCAAGTGAAGAACTCTCTTGTAAATGTGAAGAAACCACTCCTTCAAGTGAAGAAGAACTCTCTTGTAAATGTGAAGAAACCAGTCCTTCAGGTGAAGAATTCCCTTGTAAATGTGAAGAAACCAGTCCTTCAGGTGAAGAATTCCCTTGTAAATGTGAAGAAAGCCCTCCTCCAGTAGAACAAAAACCTCCTTGTATATGCACAACAGATATTCCTGCGGTGAGTACTGACTGTTAAAATATTTACTTTTCCAATACCGTCACCAAAATGTCCTACCTTCATAGTATCTTGTCAATTCTCAAGAATAATTTGGTCCTGTTTCCATCAAATGAACCCATTATTCCGTGCAGGAGGCATCAATGAAGATGGAGATCACCCAAACGGAGATCACCCAAATAGAAATCAGTAAAACCACCATCCAAGCGATAACCCAAACGGTAGCCGACGTAGGTATGCAAACGCAGCCAACTCCAAGAATGGTTCCACGTCCCCGTCAGCCCAAGATCGTCGTCGGCAAAAGCTTCGATCCCGAACCGGAGATCCTGGAGCGCCTGACTCGGTGGAAGAAGTCGCAAGAGACATCAAGGATCACGAGCACCGCGGCTACATCTCAGACAGAGAAATCAAGCATCCTTCGAATCCTGCAGGACCTGAAGTCCAGCGCAGTCTACTCGAAGTTCACAGCTGAAGAAGAACTGAGATCGATTCATTATGGCAAAAAGTTCGGTAACTTTGGAGTGAACGCACGATGCGATTGCTGTCTGTGTGGGAAAATGGTGTCGGATGTTGTGCCGGATCAGAAGGTGCCATTAGGGGGTCAGACATCGTCCGTGATGAAGCTCCTGCAGGCTTTGCCTCTATTGGACAAGCAGGCACCTGGAAGTGACCAGGCGGTGCAGTACAAATCCGTTTGCACGGAATGCAGGACGTCGTGGCATCAGCAGTCCACAGGGGCCAACGACCTAGCAAGACAGAAGCCAAAAGTCCCTCAGACCCAAACTCGCGATCAGGAGGTATATGCTTGTGGGACACCCAGAAGGAGAACGCCTGTCTCCAAAATTAAGCAGAGGTCCGATCAAAGCTGCATGGCGAAGATCAAGGTTGAGAAGACAGTTCTGAGGCAACAGATGCAGAATGTCAATCCGTGCATATATCAGCAGGGGACTGAGGTTGAACCAAAGAAAGAGGACAAAGGGGATAAAGCTGAGGATAAGGACTCGATAGACTGCATCTGCACAACGGTGGAGAACGATTCGACGGCATCGAGGAAAGTGCGCTGCGCCTGCGGAGATCCTGATTGATCTCCATATTCAATCTCTTGGGAGAGGAAGACGTTCGGAAATGGAAGAGGAATGTAATATACCGAAGACTTTGTTTCGGTGAGTCGGAAACATATCCCGTAATAAATCTCGGCTTTCCTGTACCCTATATAGGACATTACGTTGCAGATCAGGTATCCTCGAACAGGTGAGGTAAGTAAAATGAAGAGTATCCACTTTATTTCATGTCGATTTTTCAATATTTGTCTACTGAACAATTAGACGATGTTAGGTATATTTTTAGGAGAAACTGGGCCAGAACTCACCCAAGCACCGTTACTCGATGAATTCTGATCCGTTTCTCGCGATCCCATAACGTAGCTAGAAAAAGGAGTGTTCCGTGAAGGGGGACGGATTCAGGACTTGGACGAAGAAACCAACCCCTGGAGGATGGAATGCGTTTACCGAGGGCTTCTGACTGAGCGGGCACGAAGATAGAATCGAAGATGGATGCAACAAAGGAATTGGTATGTAATTTCCAATAATGTGGCGGTCTCAATGGTACTCTTCTAAAATCAATAGCACGGAGCCCATTGTGCCTGCGGAGCGGGTGGCCCTTTCATCCGGTGGATGCGTAATAGGATCGACCGTCGGCATAAAATTAAATTACGGATTTGGGCTTAGCCAAAATTGCCTCCCCGTGAGTTTCCAGTTGTCCTTCATGTGAAATGAAATTGTGAATTTGTAGTAAACTGTAAACTGTGAATCGAGTAAAAATAACATGCACATGCCTTATAATTAATATCGTTCTACAAAGTTGGTCACTTGTGCTCTGTTGTGTTTTACTATGATCGGGTAATTTTTTAACCAGCTCAATTTCTAAAAAGAATCAAAAATTTGTTACTCCATGTCATAGAACTGCATGGGTTAACACGTTCTTGTAATACATGCCGGTGCCGGTGACGGAGTCATTTGTGACCCCTCTCAATTCTTAAAAGAAATTGAAGATACATAACCAGAGGTGGGTCATTTATGACCTAGCCACAGAATTTCGTGGGTTAGCACGTTCTTGGAATACACGACGGTCACCGGTGACCGACACAACTGAAAATGCGTTAAAATTACGTCTAAAGAGGTGGAATGCTCCAAAGGAACAACGTTCTTCCTGAACATTATCTCGCCAGAACAGTCGTCGAGATTTGGACATAAATAGACGGGCGTGCATTAAAGGTAGCCACGACGCGAATGTCATCGTCTCTATGATTCACAAGATTTCACGACCGCATAGATCAGACGGGAATGGTGGGTTTGGCACGAGCCGATTACAATTTGTCGCCAAATTGATATAAGACAAATCCAAATGTACGTCCGCTTACAGACCACGCATACACCATTCCTGAAATAATCGGATAGTTCGACGAGAATGTAGACATTAAGATGATTCACGATGATCTACGGTCACTTTACTGGCATCTATTTTCATACACCGTCGGGTACTTAGTCACTGAACCATTTTTAAACACCGGACAGAGCATCATTGAAAGATATGCACAGTGAAACGTCAATTTATTTTTCAAAAGTTCGTCAAAATCTCAATAGTCGGTTTACGAAACATCGAATGGTCGTAAAAGACGAGTCCACTACACATTTGTAGACCTAGCGTATGGTCTCCTTGGACATTTGACAGATCAATACTGCGAGCAACAAGTACTTCGCTACGTGAGCTTCCACAGTCATTCGTTTTACCACCGTGGAATACACTCAGGACTGTTTCTAATGGACTACATAACAATACGCAGTACATACTCTTAACTAAAGTGTTAGGACCACAATTCCATATTTTAAGTAAAAACTTAACCTTTGGTAGGTTAAAGTTTGTTTTGGTTACATAAGTACCGGTGCCTGAGTCCTTGTTGACCCTTATACACCATCTTTTCTATATAATTGTTTATCTTCCAAAAATAAGACGAAGGTTTCTTGGAAGCCTGGGTCCAAGTAGACCCAGCAACAGTTACACCAGGGTTAAAGGTGTTTTACTGTCTCCACTGCTAATGCTATGGTATCATACTAATAAGGAGGTTCACCTACTCACCGAACATTGGCCAGAGTGTGTCTTCGTGACCTGAGGTTGTGGTAGCCACGCAGCTCACCGATGCTCCCCTGCTCGGCCTGCATTTTGGCTTGTGCAGTTGCAGCTGCAGTGGCGATCACGTGGTGCTGGTGTCCTGGTGCACCTGCGGTCGTAATGCTTCTGCGTGATCGCCAACCCGTTCTGTTACCGCTTCCTCCGCCGCCACTCGGGGTCGGCGATTTCTTCTGATACAGCCTGGAAAATTCAGATATCGCCACGGAGGCTCCAGTTTTACGTACTTGTAGCTTAGCTAGTCCGGTAGCTCATCCCTATACTTTTCGTGCTATTGCTCTGGGTCAAATTTGTTTCGAAATGGTCTGATATTTAAAGGTTTTGGGAGGATTAAATGGCTTTGTATTCCTCAATTGGCCTATCTAGATAACGGAATTTCCTGAAATTTGAGAAGATTGGATTAAAAAATTACTGACGACTAACCATGAGAGAATGGTTTGTATTGTATATTTATAAGTCGAGGCACGTTTAGTATTTTATGTCACCTGGATAGATCTCTAGCCCAAATAGTCGGTCTGAGCACAGCCAGTTCCATTTGCTCGTTAAAAGGAAGTGTAATGCACGTGGGAGGGAAGACAATGTGATTACGAAGACAGAAGAGTCCGAAGTAACATCATCGGAATTCTTTACAAGCTTTAGAAAAGCTGTGAAACGTGTCGACCGTCAACACCGTCTAACGCAGAGGAAACAAAAGCAGCCGAGAAAGAATGTAATTCGCAAACAAAGTGCCCTATATTTGCCTAGTGAATACTAACGAAAAGTACCCTTGTTGTTAACGTAACCGAGATACTCCTTGATTAAAGGATCGTCCTCGAGGATTCACCGATGAGCGTTGGACTGGAATGAAATATTCATGAGATCGAAGGAGAACTATAGCGTGCCTTTCAGGTGTAGTTACGAACGGATAATGAAACGTGTGGAATAATCTAGGTGCACTCGCCATTACGAGGAATCTGTTGATAAAAATTACCACTAAAAGTATTAAATGGAAACATAGCGAAAGAAGATTGCAGCTATGTCACCTGAACAGTCTCAAAAGTCACCAGAAGCCTTTGCCTTATGTTCCTCTGATTGTACATCCATCATTAAGACAATAGTATGAAGATTATGTTGAACCTTTGACGTCATACACAGCAAGAGCTACGAGCATAAGCTGTCCCACAGCGATAACACGACACATTTCAACCCTAGCATTCTATTCAGCACGCAAGCACTCCATACGTTCTGAATAAACACACGCGACCAGGACCAGGGAGGATAAATATTTTCATTACGTTCTGCTCCCTCTTAAACGTTTGCTGTGTACAATGGAAAATGGAGACCTAATGAGTGGCTGAAAACTGCTGGCGGCTGGCCAAGTGGCTACGATTGACTTGGAGATCAACCAGATCCTTGTAGCCTACGTTTCTTGAATGGCGAAAACGGCTGTTACATAGTCAGCCTGAGGACAAAGAATTAGGCAGTCGTGAAGCATTGAATGAGTGCTCCAGCTAAGAACTAGATAGTGGGATCTCCTTCCAGTTCTGCACTAGGTATTAGTACCTGGTCTGGCTCGTGACTAGGTTTTAGATTATTGTTCTAGCTAATACCTAGGTATTAGCATCTCATTACGACTTATCATTAGGTATTCGGACCTTGATTCAGCTCGTTTGAGTTATTCTAGCTCATATCTAGGTATTAGGACCTCATTACGACTTATCAATATGTATCAGGACCTTGTTCCAGTTCTGCACTAGGTATTAGTACCTGTTCTGGCTCATGACTAGGTTTTAGATTATTATTCTAGCTCATACCTAGGTATTAGGATCTCATTACGACTTATCATTAGGTATTCGGACCTTGATTCAGCTCGTTTGAGTTATTCTAGCTCATACCTAGGTATTAGGATCTCATTACGACTTATCATTAGGTATTCGGACCTTGATTCAGCTCGTTTGGGTTATTCTAGCTCATATCTAGGTATTAGGACCTCATTACGGTTTATCAATATGTATCAGGACCTTGTTCTACTTGGTGAATAGATATGAGGACCTTTCACTAACGTACACCTATCAAGTCTCATGTCATAAATGTAAACCTGGCTCATATTAAACGTGCGCTCTCACTATGAAGTGTCTAACAGAAAATGCACGCAGCCTGCCTGATATAGGGGCTTTAACATGTTCCCAAATTAACCTCGACATCGGGGGTCTGCGTTTTACAGCCAGTGAGACCCGAATAAAATCTCTAAATTGAATGGCGAATGGAAGTGACATAGAGCTTCAGAGAATCAACGAGCGGCTCATCGATGTCGACTCGGCGATCGTTTCGAAAATGAAAAGTCCACCACGCAGCTAGGATAAACCGTGGTTTTTTCAAGCGAACCGCGACATCAATAGCAGCCGTTCCCTACGATGATCGGAAAACCACAAAATCAGAAGCAAGGAAAAAAGGCAGGGTAGTCTAGTTGTCATCCGTGTGGAACCATTTTTTGTATAGATTCGACCGAAGAACAGTAGAGGAACTCGTGAATCACACAAAACTAAGAAAAAAACTCGACTTGCTGACGCATGCACAGTAGGAAATGAGAATGGAGGAAAAAATTGGTAGCTGTTGTATTACTCGAGAAATTACAAATTTCAGGACTATTTCGATCAGGTAGATCGATTTACGAACTCGATTGGTTATTTATTATTATCATATTGTTTCGTGAAAGGGGAGACAGAGAAGAGACAATAGAAGCTTAACACACAGCTCCACCCTGTTACGACGCAGTCGATGATAATCCTTTGTCTGAGTGCCAAACGCAAGCAGTGGGAACAAGCAAACCGCTAAAATTTTGGTCTAGCGATGTTCCGTCTTGACCGAGTAATGCGGATCGTTAATTTCTAAACCAGCCATGCTTCGAGGCGAACTGTCT